GCCAGGGCTCACCTGTGCCAGGGCTCACCTGTGCCAGGGCTCACCTGCCAGGCAGAGGGAGTTTGGGTCACCTGTCAGGTCCAGCCCTGTGCAGCAGCAGCCCAGGGGGACATGGATGCTCCTGCAAGGTTGGTGCTTCCTTGCATGATCCACAGGACCTTGAGCCTTTTCCAGAGATTTTATAGAATCCCAGACTGGTTTGAGTTGGAAGGGACCTTAAAGCCCATCCAGTTCCACCCCCTGCCATGGGCAGGGACACCTTCTACCATCCCAGGTTGCTTCAAACCCCATCCAACCTGGCCCTGGATACTTCCAGGGATGGGGCAGCCACAGCTGCTCTGGGCAACCTGTGCCAGGGCCTCACCACCCTCACAACTAAGAATTCCTTCCCAATATCCCATCTAATCCTACTAGGTTTGACTTACATGTCCCTGTCCCTCCTGCCAGCTGTGGGTGCACAGCCCCCCAGGCCCTGCTGTGCTGGAGAGGTTGGGCTCTCATTTTGGAGGGCCTGGGAGGTGGAGGGAGAACAGGGAGCAGCAGCAGGGCAGAGCCAGCACACCTCCATCTTTGCTGCCTGCAGAGCAGCAGTGCAGGATGAGTTTGGGATGCCACAGCAGGAGCAGGGCCTGGGGACCCCCCAGCCTTCTGTGTGGGTCAGGCCCCTCAAGCCCTTCATGTGGCTCTGCTCTCTCAGCAGGTTTGTCCGGGGGGTTGGGCCGGAGCAGCGTCTCCTCGGGAACGAGCGAAATAAAGAGGGAAGAGAAGGAGGATGAAGAGAACACGTCAGTGGCAGATAACTCAGAGGAGGAGAAGAAGGAGCTGAAACCCTCTCGGAACAGAACAAGGTGCTCTTTGAACAGGTCTCTCCCTTCACTTACTCTGTTCCCAGGCTGGGGGTGTTTGGGCCGGGGTGCAGCCGCCGGGACCTGCCGGGTGCTGGGCTTGACCCGGTGAGGCTGAGGGTCATCCTGTGGCACAGACCCCCAGCCCCTGCCCACCCCGGGAGCCTGGTGTGGCCTCACACAGCCTGGGCTCCTGCTGCTGCCCCAGGGGAAGGGTCCCTGCCACCCTTCTGCTGGCTCCTGTCCCTGTGGGCTCAGGGCTTCCTCACGCTCCTAAAGCAGAGGGATCCACCTCATCCCCAGCAGCTGCACCCGCCTGCGTGGGCCCTCGGGGCTGTGCACAGGAAGGAGCGAGTGCTCAGCCCCAGACAGGGAAGGTTTGACCTCTTCCCTGCCTTGGGGCATCTCTGCTGTCTGCTTTGGGCTCCTGTGTCCTCTGTCACATCCAGCTGAGAAGTGGCAGCAGGTCAGGTTCCAGCTCGCTGGCTGTTCTGCAGCCCCACCCCCAGCTCGGAGACCTCACCAGGGGGATGGTGCCCAGCAGGGCAGTGCCAGCCCCGCTCCTGCCCTGGAGGCAGAGGGCTGCGTCTTCCCAAATTCCAGCTGGGGATTCCAGTGTCGGCCCTCACCTTCTCGGGGCCACCCTGTGCCCTCCCAGCAACAAGCTTTAGTTGCGCTGTGGTTTCTTTCTCTGTTGTTTAAAACCAAACCAAACCAAAACAAAAAGAGGCAGAAGAAGAGCCTTAATTGCTTCTCTCCAAAGTCCCTGCGTGCCCCTGTGCCCGAGCGTGTGGCACAGGCCAGCACAGGCCAGCACGTCCCATCGGGGGCACCGGGGGCCACGCGGGGCTCGGCATCTCGGTGCCTCGCCGTGTGTTTCTTGTCTGTGAGTTGACCAGTGCTGAGAGTGCACGCGAGGAATGTCCCTGTCTCGTTCTTATTTTAAACCATTAGTCAAGATGAGGATGAGGAGGACGATCTTCTTCCCCCAGAGCAAAAAGCCGAGAGAGAGAGAGAAAGGAGGGTCGCCAATAATGCCCGTGAGCGCCTGCGGGTCCGGGACATCAACGAGGCCTTTAAAGAGCTCGGACGCATGTGCCAACTGCACCTAAACAGCGAAAAACCGCAGACCAAACTGCTAATCCTACACCAGGCCGTATCAGTCATACTGAACCTGGAGCAACAAGTTAGAGGTCAGTGAGGGTCCCGGAGTGGTGATATTTTACGTATCTGATCGGCACGGGGCTGTCTGTCTGTCTGTCTCCTGTGACGTGCTGTGGTGCCTCGCACTGTCTCTCTCCCCTGTGGCCTTGGGGACCAACCCAAGGCCGTTGATGTCCTTTTTGTTTTTATTTTTTTTTTGCCTTTTTTTGCATCCCTCCCTGCTGTTCTCTCCTCCGTTCCCCACTGCCACTGCGTGTGCTGCATGCCCTGCGCCGTCACTCCCCCGCAGCCAGGGCTGCTCCGTGCTTGGCCAGCTTGGAAAAACCCCAGCCAGCAAATCTCCCAGAGGGACCCAAATCTGCCATCTCCCAGGGCTGCTCCGAGCACAGAGCACATCCCCGTGCCACCTCATTGCCCAGCGGGGCTCTGCGCTCCTGTCCCACCTGTGTGGCACCTGGCAAACCCCTGGGATCACCGGAGCTGTGCCAGGGGCAGCGGGATGTCCTGGGCTGAGCAGCCCTTGCTGCCTGCACAGGCTGGTCCCAGACAAAAGCTGGGAGCTCTGTGCATTCCGAGCTGAGCCTGGAGCTGCCGGTGGGTGCGTGTAGGGTCTGCCCCTCACCGGGGCACCCTCACCTCCTTCCACACGTGTGTGCACCCATCTCCTGTGTGCACCATCTCCTGAGTGCACCCCTCTGTGCACCCAGCCCTGGGTGCTGCATCCCCGTGGGATGGGAAGCGGAGGGCTCGGTGTCCCACTCCGGAGGGCTTTGCTGCTTTGTTCCCGCATCCCGCAGTGCATGTTCCCGCTCCAGCCCGGGGTGCCGGGGCAGGATAACCCCCTTTCTCTCTGCAGAGCCTGTCGTAACACGCGTCGGGGGCTGTGCCTGGCTGTGCTCCTCTCTGCTGGCCTTGCTGTGCCTTGATGTTGGAGTCCTTTGTGCCTCTCTTCAGTTTGTAATTTTTTGCCTTTCATAACATGTATATTTTTTCCTGTCTCTTTTTTAATTTCCCCTTCCTTTTGATTTTTTTTTTTTTCCATTTTATTTCGAGTTTTTATTTTTTGGTTCTGTTCTTTCCGATCTCCTACAGACAGTCCCCAGCCGTGACCTCTCGGTGGTCCCACTCTACCTTGTACTTGCTGCTCGCGGATCCCAGGCAGGACCGAGGGGGGCAGGGCTTAGGCAGAGTTGGCACCGTGTTCACTTTGGTCTCCCACGCTTGTCCCTTTTTAAACCCTCCCTGGAGGCAGCCAGGGAAGTGGCTGAGCCCGGTGGGCTGCCCTCAGCAGTGTCAGTGCAGGCAGCCTGTGTCCCCTCTCTGTGGGTTTCCAGGAGAGAATCCCACTCTCACACCCCGTGGGAATGGGGCTGTCGGGTCCCTGTGTGCCCAGACAAGGCTGCCAGGACACTCCTGCTGCCACAGTGGCTATGGGGCAGGAAGGGAAAGGAGGAGATTGAGGGGTTTTAGGGAGCCCAGGCAGGCAGGTCAGTGACCCCTTGGATCGGGGCACAAGGCAGCCAGAGCTGCCTTATAACCCCCTGCAAGCTGCCAGCGGCGTGTGCTGAGGGCAGGGAGATGGCTCCGTCCTGCCCAGGAGTGACATCCAAGCTGTGACATCCCAGGAGAGCCACCAGCCAGGACCCATTGGCCACCAGCCTGAGCTGGGAGGAGCGAGCTGGGGTCCTGCTGTGGGGTGGCTCGGTGGCCCCATCCCCCTGCCCATCCCGGGTGTGTGGAGAGACGGTGGCAGTGCCAGCTGGGGCAGCGAGGAGGGGACAAGGACAGGAAGGAGGCAGCAAGGAGAGGCTGCAGGCAGGGACAGTGGGCAGCCCTCTGTCCTACACAGCCAAACACTTGCCTGGGGAGCACTTGCTCCCCCTTCCTGCATCCATACACCGCTCAGAGGCCCTCCAGCCCCCCAGGAAGGCTCTGCCTCTGTGGCCCCTCTTCACTGAAGGCTTATCCCCACGTGGCTCCCCTGGAAGGCCACAGTCTGTCCCAGTGCCAGGGCTCACCCAAGGACCCTCCTCAGATAGGTGTCTTCCTGCAGGAAATTTTGCTCTGGGGGAGAAGGTCGTCTGTGAATAAACTGGGGCTTTGGAGGGGTCGGGCTGTGGGCAAGGCCACAGTTCAAGGTGCTGCCAGCACGACTCTGCCTCCCCCCTGTCCTGGCCTGTTTCGGGCATCCATGGGGTGCTGTCGGCAGCAGAGGCTCTCCCAGAGCTTCTGAGTGTGCCTGGAAAAGAGAATCACCCTCTTCTGGTGGGATCCAGTGTCTGCATCTGAGTCTGATCCTCAGCAGCAGCCCAGGCACTTGGCTCCTGCCCCTGGTGCTGCCCCCACCCCCTAAGAGGGTGCCAGGCCAGGCTGCTCCTGCTGCTGTGGCACCGCTGCCACAAACGCCTTCACTGGGAGCTGCAGGTGGAGTTCTGGAAGGAAATCTTGCAAAGAGGGATTTGCTTTCTGCCAAAAAGTCTTTTTTTGGGGTTCAGACCTGATGTTTTTGGCTGAGACCCGGCCCCCAGACTTGGAGTTTTCAGCCGAAAACAAAAACAGGGAGGCAAAATTTTGCAGAGGAGGGAAGGTGTCGGTGTTGATGCCACGTCACTGCCCCTGCAGCAGCACCCTCCAGCCCCGTGGGCACCCTCCAGCCCCAAGGGCACCCTCCAGCCCCGTGGGCACCCTCCAGCCCCGTGGGCACCCTCCAGCCCCGTGGGCACCCTCCAGCCCTGTGGGCACCCTCCAGCCCCGTGGGCACCCTCCAGCCCCGTGGGCACCCAGCCTCATGCTGGCAGCACCTTCACCTGGCTCGCAGAGGTGACACAGCCCAGGCCACTCCTGGAAGGACCCAGAGGAATTGGCTTTGCAAAGTGAGGCTGTTTGGGCCGTTTCCAGTGGACACCAGGAGCACTCCCAGCACGGCAACATATAACCCCCCCCCCTTGGTACCACCCCCTGACTAACCCCTGTGGTGCTGTGAACCCAGCAGTACAGACGAGGCCTTGTCACTGGAGGACAAAGATCTGAGGGACCGGGAGAGGAGAATGGCCAATAACGCCAGGGAGAGGGTGCGTGTGCGGGACATTAACGAGGCCTTTAAGGAACTGGGACGAATGTGTCAGATGCACTTAAAAACGGACAAAGCACAGACCAAACTGATCATCCTACAGCAAGCGGTGCAGGTCATTCTGGGCCTGGAGCAGCAAGTACGAGGTATGGTACCAGCTGGCAGGGGCACTCCGGGGCCTGTCTCTCCCCCCCGTCTCTGCATGTTCGTGCATCTCTGTCCTGACTCCTGCTTTCGGTGCGAGGTGTGTGTTTGCAGTGCCAGCAGCACCCCCGGGGGCTGGCTGAGCTCTCCCTGGCCCCAGCCCAGGGTGGATTTGAGGCTGCTCTCTCCCTCTCCCCTCCTGCCTAATGGGAATTTGGCACCTGGATCCCATTAAGCAGCTTTGGAAAACTCAGTCCTCAACTCCGAGAGCTGGTTGAGGCACGTGGGGGTTCCTGAAACAGGCACATGGGGAGGCCCTGGCACAGGTTGCCCAGAGCAGCTGTGGCTGCCCCATCCCTGGAAGTGTCCAAGGCCAGGTTGGACAGGGCTTGGAGCAACCTGGGCTAGTGGAAGGTGTCCCTGCCCATGGAACTGGATGATCTTTAAGGTCCCTTCCAACCCAAACCATTCTGGGATTCTATGTTTAAATTGGCGTGGGGGTCCAGCCAGACCTGAGGTTCTGCTCAAACAGGGGTCCAGCCAAATTCCTGCAGGCACAGCAAGGAGCAGCTGCACGGGGCTTGTCCCCCCACGTGGTGCCGTGGGGCTGCTCTGGGACTCTGTCCTCGCTCTCCCTCCTGGATGCTGCTGCTGCTGCTGCCCTGTGTGATGCTGTTGCCCACACTGAGGCCGCTCCCCCTCCCTGTTCCTGGCACAGAGCGCAACCTGAACCCTAAAGCAGCCTGCTTGAAGCGTCGGGAAGAGGAGAAAGTGTCCGGAGTGGTAGGAGACCCCCAGATGACACTTTCAGCTTCACATCCTGGTCTAGGAGACGGTCACAACCCTGTTGGACACATGTAAAGGTACCATTTTTCCCCCGTGATGCCACACCCCGACCCCGTGCTGACACGCATTGCTCTGCTCTGCCTGCTCAGCCCCTTTCCCTCAGCACCAGCCAAGGTCCTGCTTCATTTACCTGAAGTCAGTGACTTGCACGTGTCCAAGGCACTGGCACAGGTTGCCCAGAGAGTCTGGGGACACTCCATCCCTGAAAGTGTTCAAGGCCAGGTTGGATGGGACATGGAACAACCTGGTCTAGTGGAAGGTGTCCCTGCCCATGGCAGGGGATTGGAAGGAGATGAGCTTTAAAGTCCCTTCCAACCCAAACTATTCCATGATTCTTTGTGCATGCCATGTGCCCTGTGGACACCCAAAGCCTCTGGCCCACAGGAGGAGTTGCAGCCCCATGGCTTGGATGGGGGGTTTCTGTGCTCTCCCCACCCTGAGTGAGCTCATCTCTGCTCTGCATCTCCCAGACCTGCCCCAGTTGGCCACTGGAAACCAGCAACTCCTTTTCCTTGAGGCTCTACGGGAGGGAATGGGCAGGTCCTAGAAATGCCAGGAGAGTCAGAGAAGGTGAAAAATCCTGCACTGGAGCAGGCACAGGCTCTGAGGGTCTGTCCCCATTTTTAGGGGGACCCTGTGCTTGGCCAGGAGCAGCCGAGCCTGTTTATCCCAGTGGTGCAGAGATGGTGGGGGGGGTTGAGCAGATCCAGGAGTGGTGGGTCAGGAGCTGATCATGGAGGGGCCACAGTCCCTTGGTGTCCCCTGTTCCAGTGGGTGCCTGGGGGTGGCCTGACCCAAACAGAGGCAAAGCTCATGTCCCAGCTCTGCTGCAGCCCTGTGGCCTGACTCCTGCAGGGACAGGCTGCAGCAGGAGCCTCGGGTGTCCCCGTGCAAGGAGCACAGGTTTATTCTCATTTGGATTTCCATCACTTCAGACTCTTTTTTTTATTTTATTTTAGTTGTAGGTCTCCCTGTTCCTCTGGATACAGAGATCTGTAGGAAGAAAGCCCTCGGTGTGACCTGCAACCTTCTTGAACCATGAACTGTAGTACTGCTCATACTGACACACGCAGACGGATCCTGGTGTGACGTAAGGGGTGGAAAAAAACACTTTTTGTCAAAAACAGAACGAAAACAAAAAAAATTGCCTTAAGTATAAAGTGCAGAACAGTCAATACATATCACTCAGTTAGGAGGGGGTGGCGTGTTCTCTTGGCTTGTTCACAAGCAGCCAGCAGCAAAATTGTGCCTAAGCTTGATATTTCTTTTTTAAAAAAAAAGAACATTAGTTATGAGATTTTTTATGTAGAACAAATAGCAATGCCTTTTGGTTTTTTTTAGCTTCTTTTGCATATGTTTTGTAAGCGACGAAAGAATTTTTTTTTGTATAAAAACATGTCTTGTACCCTCCGCTTTTCTGCTGCTGTTTCTATAGTTAACGTTGCATCTTTAGGATCAACCAGAATATTAAAATTGTATTAAGAGAGACTGGATATAAAGAGAGGAATTCTCAGATTCGGCTCGGAAAGCCACTAAAAGCGAATGTAGCCACAGCAAGGGGATGTTCTTCCTTGCCTGGCTTGTACCTTCCATGATAAAAAAACAAACAAACTCATGTGCTGAATTCACCATCTCTTTGCTTCGGCCACTTCTGATTTGGGAAAAGGAAGTTAAACAGCAAAGCAAGTGGCAGGAGTGCCCCTGCTCCTCCCGGGAGGCGACCGAGGTGCTCTGCAAGGTTTGCTTTATTTCCGGAGATCTGGTGTGGGAGAGGAGGTGCCCCATGGCTGTCCCGGAGCTGCTGGGATGGAGCAGGGATGGAAGAGATCCAAGGGACTGGGGCACTTCCAGGCAAAGCGAAGCAGGAACACGGATGCATGAGGAAAGCCTGAGGTGGAGGGAAGCGCCCCTTCCCCACACGCCAGAGCTGTTGGAGGCACTTCCAGGAGCAGCGCTGAACAAAGACCAAGTGAACAAAGCTGGAGCACTGGGAAGAGGTGGAGGCAGCAGCAGGATATGGGGCCAGGCAGCCCTGTATCTGGGCCAGGAAGGGAGCAGTGACCTGGCTCACTCCAGCCCTGGGCAAGCCACGACCAGCAGCAGGATCCCTTCTCCCTGCACTGGAGTCACCTCCATTGGAAGTGGAAAACGCTGCAGGATCAGGGAGAGGGGCTTCACACTCCACTGTCACCTCCTGTCACATCTCCAGAGCATCCTTGGAGGCAAACTGAGCTCGGCATGGGCTTCCCGTGGGGATGTGAGTGGTAACTTCACCTGCCTGTGGGCCCCTCTCTCCCTGCTGGGAAGGAGGGAAGTGGGAGCACCTGCCCTGCACGACATGCTCCAGCAGCCAAGCTGGGCCAGCCATCCCTCACTCCCAAGGATTCTCAGAGTTGCTCCAGAGTGCTCAGCAGGAGGAAGATCCCTGGCAGCCCCACTGGGTGCCCCGGAGGTGTGGAGCAAACGAAGAGGTGCTGGGCAGTGCTGAGCTGCAGCAGCCGTTCTGGAGATGGCCATGGAAAAACATCCACCGGGAATTTACTCTTGTTTCTTTCCTCTCCTTCCCCTTCTGAAACATTTCGTGCCTGGTTCTTCCCAGCTCTGCAGGTGGATGGGGCAGTTCCCCAGGGAGTGTGACATCTGGAATGCTCTTGGACTGGGGCCACAGCTGCCCAGATGTGCCTGGCAGAGCCCAGTCAGGCAGGACAGTGCACAGGACACGGGTGCTGGCCGGGGGCAGGACGTGGGGACGATGAGTATGGTTGAACCCCCCCTCTCCCCCACAGGGTCCATCTCTCCCCTCTGCTGCTCCAGCCTTTGCTCCTGGGGAAGCCGTGCTGCTTTGGGAAAGGGAAGGACTGGCAAACAGGATTGGGTCCCGGGCTTTGGCATAACCTCCTGGTGCTCCTCTGTGCTCGTGGCTGCACTTTGTGCTCTGGCAAACCCTGCTGGAAGTGCTTATCTCCCTCCTCACCTGGGCACCGTGGCCTCAGCTCCTGCAGCACCTCTGAGAGGAGCCAGTCCAAGTGCCAGGGCAGCATTGGGGCTGTCCCTGCTGCCCCTGGCACTGCCTTGGGGCTCCACAGCATCCAACCTTAGCTCTGAAGCTTTTGGGTGCTCCTGGCTTTCCCCAGCTTGCTGCTCCCACCATTCCTTCTGTGTGGGGAGACCTGAGACCACAGCAGCCCCCAGCTGTGTCCCCAGGAAGGCCAGGAAAAATCAGCAGTTCCAGCAGCCCAGGTTCTTCTTGCCTGTGTCAACAGACACATTTCAGCCTAATTAGCTTGCCAGGTTTATAACACTTTGCTCCTTTGGGTTCTTCTGGCAGCTGAAGCACGGGGCAGTGAGATGGATGAGGTTTCCCTCCATGTGTGACAGTCCTTGACTCCCATTCGTGCTCTGGGGTACAAATCTGGGGGCTCAGCAGCTGCTTTTTGCAGCTGTGAGAGGTGGCTTCATCCCATGAGAATTCCTGCTCCATGGGTGGGACAGTGATGGGGCTGCAGGGCTTTCACTGCTCAGGGTTTTCAGCTGGCACAGTGCCCCTGCCCCAGGACTGGGAGTGATGGAGCAGTGTCCCAGATCTGGCAAGCCTGAAAACCTACAAAAAAATTTAAAGTGCTTCCCAAACCCTTTGATTTTGCCACAAGAATTGAAGGTGGCAGTCATGGACAACTGGACTTAAAGAGACTAGTCAGGAAAAATCCAGGAACTCAACAAAACTGGAAATTTGAGAAGATTTATGAGTTGTTCAAAATTTTGCTGAACTTCTTCATCCCCTCCAAGTCCTGCAGGCCAGGGGGGATTCCTGATGAGCCAGAGCCTTTCCCACCATCCCCAAACTCCCAGGCATTGCAACAGAGATGGGGCTTTTCAGCTACATTCCAGTGGTTGAGATGCTGTTTTCTTGACAGCAAACCCAGGGAAATTCCTTCCTTGGCAAGGCCTGGATGAAGATCCTTGAGCATAAACCCTCAGAGCCAGGGTTTGGAGGAGATCTTGGTTCCTCCAGCTCAAAAGCACAATGTGGGGGTGGCACTGCTGTGCCATCTCAATGGCACAGCTTTGTGTGCCAGCCCAGTGTGGCCTCGGTGGCATCTCTGCTTTCCAGGTGCAGTTGGGAAGTGCAGCAAGGAAAAATTCCTTTGGCTTCCCAGTGTGTTTGGTTCAGTGTGAACGTGGTGCCTGTAACCTGCCAGGGAAAGTGGCTTTTCTAAAAACGAGCACTATCAGGTGCAGTCCCCAAAATACCACCCTGAAATGTCACCCTGTAGCAATGAAACTCTTTTCTTTAGGTGTCATGGTCACTGAGGGACAGGTCAGGGCTGTGCTGGCATTCCACTTGGGATCTTACAGATCCCCAAACCTGCTTCTCTGCCTGCCTGCATGTCCCCCACACCCGTGGTGCTGCCAAGAGAGGTGTCCTAGGTGGGTGAGAGACTGTAGGGTGCCATTTATTCAGTTTTCTGCTTCCTCTCTCAGCCTTGCATGCACAGGTGCTCCTGGGCCACGTGCCCCTCCTCATCGGGGGCCACAGAGCCCCCCCAAAGCTTCCATCATCAGACAGGGAATCAAGGGGCTGCCTTCCCCTCTGTGCAGCTTCTAGTTTCTCTTTTCCCAGGCTGCATCCCAGTCAAGCAGCAGAACTGGGTTCTCACCTGCCTTGGGACACTCCTTGTGTGGCAAGGACAGTCCTGGAGTGCAGTCCCGGGGTCCCCAGCCCCAGGGGTCTGCTCTGTTCCCCCGCCTCCCAGCCAGCCTCCTGCCTCTCTACGTGAGCTGTTCATGCCACGGTGCTGAGGAGTGTCTGGAATCCAGTTTATTAACTGTAAGATTGCAGATTTTTGTTCTTTCTCCCTTTCACCTGCTTTTGCCCCAGAGCAAAGCAGCTGCAGCCTCCCCGAGCCTTCACCTCCCTGGGCTCGTGCTGGGGTGGTGGTGTCAGCCTGCCTGCTGCTGATGCTGCTGCTGTTCCTGCTCACAGCCCAGGGAGCAGAATTCCAGCTGTTTGCAGCCACCTCCCTGCCACGACCCCCCCAGTCAGACCAACTCACAGCTAAACCTGCTCTCGAAGGTCCTTTTTGCCCCCCCGGTGTCCCCACTGAAGCCAGCAGAGCCTTTGGGCCCCAGGCCCTCACAGAGTGATTCCTCACATCCTCCCCTCAGCAGGTTGGAGGGGCTTGAGAAACAAGAGGCTTTGGAACCCCCAAGCCCTGCACCCCCTGAGCTTTGCTGCCCTTCCTGCAGTGCTGGCTAACCCAGAGCAAGCCGTGGCCACTGGACTCCCCCGTTCCTGCCCGACACCAGCAATAGCAAGGCCTGTTTTCTGTCCCCCAAGCTTGCACAAGGTCTTTGCCCTGTTAAATCCTATGCAACCCCCTCTCCTCTCACCAGGACTCTCCAGATCCCAGCCCAGCCCATTCTCTCTGCTCTTCTCCCATGACTGCTGAATTCTCCCTTCCTGCTGCTCTCAGAGTCCAGCTTCATTTCTAGCAGCTCCAAAAGCATTCCAAGTCCTGTGCCCTAGAGCTGGGAAGGGGCAGATGAGGGCTGAGACCACAGGAACACCCCTTCCAAGTCATTCTGTGGGAGCTGAGCACTGAATTGGAGGGGGCAAGGCCTGGTGCTGGGGCCCCTCCACACCCCCCTCACCCTCCCGTGCCTTCTGCTCACTGCCATCCTTCATCCCCCCGTGCCCTGAAGGGAGAAGTTGAGTCCCACCGTGCTGCTGCCCGGACTGTTCTCTTAGCACCTGAGCCTCAGGCTTGGCTTGGCTGCTCTCCCTTCAGCCCCCCAAGCCTGAAGGAGTGTCTCCCTGTCTCTCCTGCTCCTCAGTCTCTCCAGCCAGCACCTCTGAGCTGTTTCCCTTGGCAGTGGGGCATCAGCTGGGGTGGAGGCAGGAGGATTCAGGAGGTCAGTCCCACGGCCTCTCCCTGCCTTTGGGGCAGGTGGGGGGGATCTGGTGCTCTGTACTTGGATTTTCAGGGCAATTCAGCCCTTCCTGGGAGCTGGCACTGCCATGGCCTGCAGGACTCCCACAGGAGGGTGGGCTCTGGTTAAGAGGGTGGTGCAGGCTCCAGGTGTTCTGCCAAACCTTTTGTGCCCATCCTGCAGCCCAGCCCAGGGCAGGAGACAGTCCTGCCGTGGCTCTCCATGCTGGTATTACTGTTCCCCTGGTTTTGTCCATCTCCTGCTCCTCGGGGCTCTCAGTTCCCACCCTGGCCCAGCCAAGCACCTGCCATGATAGAGGGCAAAAAATTTGACACTCACCCTGGTACATCTCGGCTCAGCTGTGGCACCAGCACAGGAGAGCAAAGGGATTTTTTTGCTTCCAAACAGGATGTTCTGGTACCAAGAGCATCCCCATGCCCTGCACCCCTGGGCTGTGCTTAGGGGAGCCGTGTTGCTCCTCGAGGCAGCAAGCTGGCACACCACAGGTCCCCCTTCCCGGTGCCATCCATGTCTTCCCAAATCACTTGAACCCACCA